GTTTGCGCGAATTAATTGAAAGTTTTTAACTTGCCAGCTTTATGCATACACATAATCATAAGTAAATTTATTTAAATAATGCAAATATTTTGAAATGCTATTTTTTAATTGAATTCACAAGCATTTTGCATATTTCTGAACATTTAGTTTGAAATTTAAAGGATATTTTATCTGCTTAAAGATATTTTATAGGGAAATTTTTACATGCTGCTTATTTACTTAGTGAAGAATGTTCGCGTCAGTTTGTCGTATGTCTAAACACTTTCTTGGCAATAAAACATAGCGGTCTAAAATGAAGAAGAGCAACCCTCTTAGACTTCTACTGAGAGTTGTCATTTAGAGATCTCCAGGGTTCATCATCCCCCTGACAGAGATATCATCGCCCCTGACCGCCTAAAACCGTCAATAACGCTTTCGAACACATTTTCCTTGACCACCTAGAAGTGTCCGTAACGATTTGACGTAGGTCTCCTTGACCGCCTAAACCCGGTCATATCGCTCAGAGGATTAAAATACAAATGCAGGCCATAGAGATCTTTGCAATTTTTTTTAAATATAAATTGTCCTGTTTCATATAAAATGCTTTAAAAAATCATTAGTCATAAACAGAACAGCATCAATGCAGCATAATGATAGCCAAACAAAGTTTTATGCTAAAACTCAATGTTGCCAATAAATTGGTAACTTTCTGTGAAAGTGCAGATACTCAGGAAGTACATACCAGAATTTCAGAAAGAATAATTATGAAAAGCTGTAATGTTAGTGCCAAAGATGCAGATGGAAATTGCATTCAAGGGCAAGTTGATATTTAATGCAAAATGTTTGACCAATAAGCTTCTCCTTCCCCCCCCCAGCTCTTTTTAAATCTGTATGCAGAAAAGTTTCTGCAGTTACTAACTTCCACTAAGAGATATAATATCAGATATTACTAAAAGATCTTAATCTTTTTTTAAAAAAATCAGATTAGTTTTTATTCAGTTCTTTTGATTGACATGACAATGCTAATCAGTTTTCTATTTTCTTTTTTTGGAAGAGGTGATTCATCAGTCAATTTATACGGTTTTGCACCAGATAATCCACTATTATTATCAAATGGGATGAAGTGAATTAAACTTTTATTTTTGAATTCTTTGAATGCATTTTGGTGAGATTTAACAGTGTTTCTCAAATTCAACATGCAGGGTACTGGTGAAAACCTTTCTACTTGAAATGTTAGTGAAGAATGAAACATAAACCTGCTATTTGAAAATTAGGTTTTGCTTTAATTTAAACTCAAAATTTTTTTCTGCAATGTGCTTTGCATACGACTTTTATTTTACAGAAAACGTGTTCATTTCACAATTAATCATTTTTGTACTCAAATATTTAATAAATGGTTACTAATATTTTAATATTTCTAATGTAATACTATATTAAATTATGATTTCATTTTAAATGCCTATGGAAATATATTTCCATAAATAAATTCACAAATGCTACATTTATTAAAAAGTTATTAAAAACTGTGGAGAGTAGCAAGAAGAGAAGCTCTTAAATAACCCTTTGTAGTAGTCACCCTCAAATATACTGACTGCATCCTTGACTGCTTGGTTTTAGGTAAAGGGCATTTCCCTTTCACATCCTTCACCTAAAACCAAGCAGTCAAGGACGCAGTCAGTATTCTTACCTCTCAGCTAGCAGAGCATCAAAAATGCAAGTAAACTAAGGCATAGGTAGAATTGCAGAAAACTGTTATTAATAAGAAATGTTAATTAAAATAATTTAGTATTCCAAAGACGTTTTTGAGCTCCCTCATTATACAAAAGAATTCAATAATATTTTATTGGGGTTAGTGTTTTTAACCATTCCAGAGTAACATTTAGGTTTTAAGATAAAAATAAATTTGGAATTGCTTCTGTTAGACATTATTTTGCTCTTCTTAGGAGGAGGTTTTTAGGATTGCCCATTTTGTGGCTAGCATTATATTAAAAGTTGATGGATTTGATTAAGTTTGGTTTCTAGAAATTTTGGGCAGTTGCTGGTTCTTAAATGTAAGGCAGATAATCTGCATTGCATAAGAAAACTTCATACTGAGAGACTTTCAAATGTTCATGATTCCTTTAATAGTTTGGCTTATAATTTTAAAATAAAATGTTCCAATGAGGGTTTCCAATTTAATTGTTGATAACATGTGATTTTTTAATACCTTCTCATATCATGAAATGGATGTTTAATGAAATTAAAGCTGGCAACATAAACACATTTCTAACACTAAAGAAATAAAAATTAATTATGCAAAGAATTCACATTTTTTAATCAATCAATATAAATGCTCTGGCAGGTTCTCAGATGTTGCTGGAGGTTTTGGATGGCATTCATAGATGAATTTTAAAACCTGTCATTACACCTGTAAAGTCTGTCGACGCTTACAGATTTCTAACAATTTTTCTCCATGGTATTGCTGTGTCATTGAAGCTTTACTTCTTCTGCCAATTCAAATTCTTTGATTAACATCATGTCAGAAAACTGGTTCATCTAATAACAATTGTTTCTACATCTCTTGTTTGACATTCGTAAGTGAATAAAATTTTTCAATTAAATTATAAATTCATATTTAAATTTTCATTATATTTTGCACATTTTAACTCTATAATTTCAGTATCCCAATTTGAATTGCAGTTTAAATATTGCCAACCTTCAAACATGTACATGCTGTCACTAAGTAGCTAGAGATTTGAAATTTATATACTATTTCATCACATAAAATGTACTAATTAAATTCTTATAATACTTATGGATAAATTCTTAATATGTGTATTAAGATATTTGTTTTATTATTTTGAATTGCATAGTTAATAAAAAAGTGAAATGATACAGCTGTTGGCAATACTGGAAATCTTCAAAATATCTTTCAGTAACTTCTCTTTTTAAATAGCAAGAACATATAGTAGCAATATACAGTTTAACAATACAACCTTTCTGGGGTCCTATTAATAATGGGAAAGTATACACATATAAGCATACTAACTAATTTAAAGTTCTCAGAATCATTTGATGAATCATAACTTATTAAAACACAGTTACATTTATTTAAAAAATCCAAAAGAAATATCAGTTAAAAAAATGATTTTATATAAAAAGCATAAGACAAAAAAAGTATGTACACAAGAGAAGGTTCAAATTTTAATGACTGCCCAATACATCTCTTTTAAAGTTTAATATAGTTTATCAGTAGAGATTATCAATGGACATGGCCCAGGTAGAAATAGAGAAACATTTTATAGGATATTAGATGAATATGCATTTGGACTAATATGGGAACATAATATAACTTTTGTATATTTAAAAAGAACAAAAATATGTAATTCTATAAAAATATTTAATATTTTTAATTAGATATATTGTGATTGAAGAATAAAATTTGATGGAAAATCTGAAAGGACTAGATTTTAACAGTCACCCCAAAAAAAGTTTTTCTACACTTTCGCGGAACTCACAGTCTACCAGCCTGTTGCTGCACTCACTCCTACTAACCCAGTTCTTTTTGGCTTTATTTTTAAGCATCATTTTCTTCACACTTATGCCACACACAATTCAACAGCAAAATTGAAAAATTTTAAAAGCAGCATGCGTTTAGAATTCCCAATGATGTGTTCATTGGGAATTGTTAACTTTTTAATTTTTTTCAGATTTTTTTCATTTTATCATATCAATGTAGTACAGTTAGTAAGATGGCTTGTAAAACTTTTGTCATTACTATTATTGTTTTGTGTGTTAAATTAATCAAGCATGTTCTTCACACTCACACCAGATAAAATTCTGTTGAATAGCAAAATCACAAATTATTTAAAAACAGCATATCTTAAGAATATCTGATATACAGTCTTGTGTGCTGGAGATAAAAGTGTTTTAATCCATACAGTGTTGTTACTGCTTGCTTTCAGATCATCGAGTTTGTTAAAAATTCATTAAAGCTTTACATAATGTGAAATATTATATTCAAAATTTTAAATTCAGGCAGCCAAGTGCACATGTTCGCTAGGAAGACTACATTATTCAGAATATGGCTCTAAGTACCATTATTTTTTCACAATGCAAAAAACATACACATTCATGCAGATTCTTCATTATTTAATTTCTTTAAGAGTAATACAATATAATAACATTTCATGATATCAGTCTGAAACGTGATTAAGACATATAAAGTGATATACCACCAAATTCTGTTTCGAAAGTAACAGCACTAATACCCTTTTTGGGTTAATAAAAAAGTAAATATTTTTAAGAACTGCACTATTGCTTTTAAATAGTTTAGTTTGTTAACTAATAACAGTCAGATTAAATATAAAAGAATATCTTACATTTTTTCAAATGGCAACAGACTCGAATGAAAGGTGACACAATGCAAAAATTGTGTTTCAAGACTAAAAGAACGTTTGGGCAAATAAATAAAAAAAAGTTAGGTAACAAGCATTTTACGAATGATTGTGAGTAGAACAAATTCATTTAATAGATAAATAATTGTTTACATGTACACAAATGGTAAACTTCTTTTAAAGCCATATTCAGGATCAGCAAGGAAACATTCTGAGATTTCCACAAACCCATTCTGGGGAAAGAATACAACCTGCATTATTTTTACCTTTTTGTGAATAAGATTCATCAAATTCCACAATTTTGTAGCACAATTTTAATGCTAAGATGAGATGACAAGAAACTGGTAAATATCTCTCTCATGTACTATTCCAATCAACAATCTGATTCCTCTGAAGCAAGCTTCAGTTCATAAAACTTAACAGATGTTAATTCATGATATCATAAGTAAATGAATTAGTAGAAAATGAAAGAAATGCATGATTCAACAAATCATTTTTGTGTTTGCCATTTTCGACCTTTTCTTTCTTTGCACATCTCCCAAAAAAAATGCCAAATGGTATAGTATAGCCTTTAACAGAAAACTATCTATAAAATTTTATACATAGTAAATATATGGAATCGATGTATACAAATAAAATGTTTACCTCTGAGGATTTCAAAATTTTAGAAGGTACATGTTCAAGGCACAAATCATGGATTTCAATTAACCTGGCAGCAATCTTAGGGTCATCAGTATGGGTTAGTTCATATATGCCTTTCAGATAGCTTAAAACTGATTCGGCTTCTGCTTGTGAGCCGCACTCTTTTTCTGCTACATGAAAACCTTTTACGGCATATTTCAGAACTGCAGCATTAGCTAAATAAAATATGAAATGTTTAATTATGAATTAATCAGAATATACAATTTTACTATTACTGATATGGTAACTAGTAATATGGCATATATGATAAAAGTATTAAGTGACCAAACTTGAGCACAGTTTTGCTTCTACATTCATGACACAAAAATTTTAGAGAACAAATAACTTTGTAAACAAAAATAAATAAATAAAACTGAAAGCTTTCAGATTTTATTATGCTCAAACGGGCCTTTTTTATGTTTTGTGTGTCAACTATATTTATTAAATACCAAGTTCTTCGCACTTAAACCATAAAATTTAATTCAACAGCAATATCACAAAATATTTAAAAGAGCATATCTTTAGAATTTCTGCTACATAGTTTCGTGCTGTGCAGATAAAAATGTTTTGTTTCCTCCACACAGTGTTGAAACACAGTTGAAACAGTTTCCTCCACACAGTGTTGCTCGTTTTGAAATTGTTGAGTTTCTTAATCAAAAACTCATAAATGCTTTACAAAATATAATAAATAATAATAAAGCAAATTCCAAATTTGGGCTTTCAGATGCTCATATTTGGGTGGAGACACACATTATTCAATATCTGAAGGCTCTAGGTATGATTGTTTTATCACAATGTGAGAAACATACATACATTTATGCAGGTTCTTCATTATTTAATTTCTTTAAATATAATGCACAGCTCTAATATTTGGTGGCAATATTTTTTTTTTAGTTTATAGTGAATCAATGCAAAATGCCAAAACAAAATTAATAGCCCTTCTGGGCAAATTGGCCTTTTGAGCTAAAAAGGTTGATCATATGAAATACCATCATGCTTGAATTCTAGAAATAAAAAGTAAAGAATTTTAAAGAATAAAATTCTCTACGAGTGGTTGTTGGAACCATAATAATTTTAATTAATGCTTCTTCCCAACACTATTTTTCCATGCTTTTTTAAAAAAAAAAAATCTATTTCATCATATATTAAAAAAACTGCAACAGAACATCAAGGAGACAAAGTTTGTGTGGCAGTAAAGATTTTGAAATTACAGAGAATAATGCACAGAAAAGAAAAAATTTTAACTAAGTAAAGAAATTTTTTTAAAAAATGCAATTGATAAAATACAATTGCCAAATATGTATACTTGTCTTCAATATTCAATATAAGTACTTGTCTTCAATGTTCTAAAAATAGCGTGCAATGAATCAGCCACATGCAAAATATTTGTATTCAATGCCATAATGCGACTTCCCCATGCATAGGTGCAGCATTATCATAAAATGCTACAGACAGCTTAACTTAAAGTTACAGTACATATTATATATTTTATCTTGAGAGTAAATTTCATTATTTTGAATCAATAAGTAAGGATCAAGTAAGTCAATTTTTTACTGCAAATAATAATTCTGAATACAGATTACATTTTAGTTTTAATTTCACACTGTTCACTGTATTTTATTAGGATCCTATCCCTGAATGTACAAGTACATTAAACAATATTTAATACCAAAAAGTTAGCATTTTAGGTTCATACTTGATTAAAAATTTTTCAGCTATTTTTTAAACATTTTCATACATGAAACAGCATTTCTGAAATGGACTGTACATATTTGTATCAGGCTTTGAATGCACCTACTGAAAGTTTAATGCTGGTCCAACTGAAATAATTTTGAAAATTATTGATTTTAATTGTCATAATTTGTTATTCATTTCTTTAAGAGGTTCATATGAAAGTAAGATATTTTCAGTTAATAACAAATAACACTGTAGAGCTAGACTTCATTATATTCAGAAGCATAAAAATTTAAGCCACTCATATGAAACATTTAATATGATGTATACTACTTATAAATTTCAGCATTAAGCAGTTTTTATATTATTAAAATAGTATCTCTATTTAGACATCTGACTGGACATATTGTTCACAAGACCACCTCTACAAAATTGGAGTCGTAGATTTTGCCAAACTGTGTTTTATGCGACTCCAATCAGTCTGCGATTTTTCAACATTTAAATAATTGTATTGCACTTTCTCGGTATGAGAACATTGTTAAAAAGCACTAAAGAGCCTGTAAACTAATGGCTTAAGTGCTAATGTTTGGCATTTGTAAAATAAATAAAAATATTATTAAAACACAAAAATTTAAAATAAAAAGCATCTACTCAAGTTATATTATCAATGACAATCCAAACATTACAATGAGTTCTCCCAAATCAAACTTGTTATACATAAAAACTAATAAGAATTTCTTACACAAATAGACATATAATTCGTTAAATACAATTCAAATTTGTAAATTTTACCCAGAACTTCCTTTGGCATTCTTTGATTAATAGCCCAACACTGACAAGAATCACCAGTGAAAGTGCTATGTCACTACACTATGTAAACCGAATTTTACAAAAATGTATTTACTCGGCAACTTCCTAATAGTTGCATGCACATTAACATGCAACATAACATTATACCAGAGCATGATATGCGCAGTTGTAATTTTGAAATTTGAGACTAATCTGTTTTCTGTTTGTTGTGGTTAGTGTGTGATTTTTTTTTAAACAAATCTTAATGCTGTTGTGAAGTATGCCTGCTAATGAAAAAGAAAATGTTGCAATTTTTTCAGAAATACAGTACAAAGTCCGTAATCCGGACTCGTTGGGACATCAGCGATTGTGGATTAGGGTTTTTACGGATTATAGATAATCAATTTAAATCTGGTAAGATGGCATGCAGAAATTATACAATTAAAAATATGAAACCATAAATTATGAAATAAAGAGCAATTGTGATCTAAAGGGTATCAAAATTTACAAAAAAAAAAAAAAAAAAAGCTTAATATTTATTTGTTTACTTTAGTAAACATTTCTTTCAATGTAAGTTGTTTAAGTTTCTTTGTTTTATGTGATAATACTTTCTCTTTAATTCTATAAACAGACATAATTTCTTGTTCAATTACAAAATTCCACTGTTCAAGTCCTGTAATTGCTGTGTTGAGAATACCGTTGCTTCGTTTTTTATGCTAATACTTTCTCTTTAATTCTATAAACAGACATAATTTCTTGTTCAATTACAAAGTTCCACTGTTCAAGTCCTGTAATTGCTGTGTCGAGAATACCGACTAACTTGTCAATCGAAATTTTTTCGTTTTCAATAACGTTCTCTGTTACTTTCTTCACTATCGAAAGCCCGCATGGGTAAACGCTTTACTGGCTTTACGTACATGGGTAGCGGGCACGCGCATCAATCGCGCATGCATAAGTTTGTGGCTTTGAGGTCCGGATTATAGATCATTCCGGATAATGGACGTCCGGATTAGAGACTTTGTACTGTATAGCATTTTGACTAGTTGTAGAGAATGCAGGGAAAAAAGATAAGTATTTTATTATGGATGTTCCTTGCATTTTTAATTTAGTTAATTTGTCACAGTTTTATGCAATTTTTAATGTTTCATTATCAGCAATTCTTTATTAACAGTTTTTAGGTGGTTGTGATAATAGCTTTTGTGAATAAGTACAATTCTCTGAAGTATTTTTCAGTGATAAAAGCTTTTTTCAAGTTTGTGCAATTCTTTGATTATTAGTTTTTTTTGAATTCATGCAATTCTCTAATCTTTTTCTAAGATAAAACACATTGATGTGTACATAGACGACAGTAGCAAGTTGCTCTGTGATGCTGAGAATTCTTCATTTCTCGATATTTTTTGTAAGTTAAATCAGACTGCAGATATGGGGAAAGAATGTGGGAAGAAGATAGTTGACAGTCTTACTATGGATAATTGCCATATTTTATTTTAGTTAATTTGTTTATTGTCTTATATAGATTTTTCAGTGTTTCATTATAGATATTTTTTGCATTTCTAATTTCATTAATGCAGTGCTGTTTTATGTAATTTTTAGTGTGCCACCATTTTTTAAAATGGCTACAGTTTCTCACATGTTAGGTTAGCAAAAAAATAGTTGTCAACAATTGTCGATTTTGCCGGAGGTTTGGGCAGTTAATTAAAAAGTACCCTTCTTTTCCTAAAACATTTTACACTTCTTCATTTAGTTTTATTGCTATCTTCAAACATTTATTACCTTCTAGTCCATTCAATGTTTGTAAAACAGCTGCTCATTAATTTCAACACTATTTCCCATAGAATTTGACTAAAGTAAATTCAACAAAAAAAGCCACTTAATCAAATAGCTAGCCACATATCCAGTATCTACCAGGGTTAGAGTAGATTTAAGGGTGTCTCTTGTATAGTAGCGAAGCTGTTTCATTTATTGACAAGTTGTTGTTTCATTTATGGTAACCTCAGTACTTGAATGTTAAGGAAACCCTATTATGACATGATTAGTTGTGTTGTTACGGTGAATTTGAATGATGGGAAAAGATTTGTAAGAACTAGTTGTGTGTGTTGGCTAGGAAGCTCTTTGCTTATTTTGTGGTTTAGACGGTAAAATGGCTGAATGTGGTAAGACTAATTTGAAGTTTCTGTACGATCTGGAACAAAAGGGGAAAAGAGCATTAATTGACTGGTGTGTAAATGAAGATTTACTTAGAAGCCATTACAAGAGTAGGAAGGAAAGTATAGGCCAATATAAGTGTAGGAAGGAAATGTGTATGGTCGAACGTCAGAGGATAGCGGCACCACAGAAAATATTTTTTACTCTTATCTTTGTGAATTTATGTGGCAATGCCAGTATACAGATAAATTTACGAAGTTCAAATAAATTTAAGAAGTTTTTTGGATACTGTTAAGGATTCTGGTTTGACTGAAGACAGGGAAATTTCTAAATAAGGTAAGTGGATATTTTCTTTGTGTAGTGCTAAAATGAATTTCCTTTTTTATGTTATTTGATTTAAATGTAGTTTACTAAGATTATATATTTTATGTTGGCTGCTCCTTTGACTTTTTAAGTGGAAATAGATCGATGTGTACATGAACAAAGGGAGTGTGCAATGCCAAGTTTGTTCAATTCTCTGATGTTTTTTTAAGTGAAAATAAATCAATGTGTACATGGATACTGAGTTTGAGCAATTCTTTGACTTATTTTAGCTTTGTGTAGCAGGCAGAAAGATCGGCACCATCTTGAAATGGGCGGAAGGTGGGATCGGCACCACACAAAGCCAAAATAAGTCGAAGAATTGCACAAACTTGGTATCCATGTACCGCCAAAAATCACCAATTTTCACCACGGGGCACTCATAAATATATTTTTACCTCTAGCAGATTTGTTTCAGCTCTAAATATAATACTAGATAAAAGCTAGTTATAGACAGATCTTAACAAGAAATTTCACCACTTCTTAGAATAGCCAACATTGAAAATCAATGATCTGCAGTCTCATACTATAATACAGTTACCCCTACATCAGCTTCTCCCTTCCCTCAACATTACAGACAGAAGCTTTGCCATTTTAAATTTTGAAGTCAATATTAATGACATACATTTTTATTAATAACTCTCTTTTGTTTCTACACATAAAAGTACAACATTACAGAAGCACGAAAAAAGCAACAAGGAAGTGCTACAAATTCAATGAATGGCACTAATGGATATAACTAAAGTGTTTTGTACTACACCAATAACTGTTCTTCAAGTTCTAGTTGGTGTACTTTCATTAGATATTAAAGCAAAATAGCAATAAAAGTTATTTAATATCTTTCACTTTCAAGAGGATTGCACTGTAGATGAATTAAATATATGAAGCTTCATTCACACCGAAAACGCTGTAAAACCTCATTCACATTGAAGCAAAGCATCCACAGGACCAACTCTAAAAGGAAATTTTTTTTAGCATCATCAGAAAGAAAGCTAGCAATGCAGTAAAAAAGGGAGGATAGTAACAAGATTGAAATTTACATTTGCTACATACTCTTCTAAACAGATCTGGTTCAGCTCAATTTTTAAGTAGTCTCAAATTAAAAAAGATATTCAAACCTTTCATCTTTAATACAAAGTAAAGTTGTTGCGTGCAGACAAATCAAGAGGGAACTAAAAAAACTCCTCACAAATGCAAATTAAAAGTGGCTCATACATTGGAAAAATATGTAGCAATAAATGATGTCTGTGCTAAAACATAATTGCATGAAGCTAAAGTGATTTTCTTTTATTCTGAAATGACTTTTGTTGCTTTAATTCATTTTATATGTAGGAGATCTTATTTATTAATCCCTCCTTATATAATGAAAAACACAAAAATATTTTGTTCTGAGTGGACCTCTCTAGGGAGGATATTTATACAAATCCCCTCCTTGTGCTCGATTTTCTTAGAGTCAACAGTTTTTGGACCTTCATCAAAATCTGAAGAAAAGCAACAACAACAAAGCACAAAAATTACTCAATTTTTTTAATTAAAAATGATACAAAAGATCTTACCAGTATTTTCTGATTTAACATGAGCCATGCATAAAATATCCTTATGAGTCCATTTATGTCGAGATTTCACCTTCGTTACCTCAATGGCTAAATCTTTAGCATCTTTTTTGTTATACCAATGTGTTAAAAATCTTCGAAGAGCTCGCCCATATCCTGATGATGGCTTAGAAAGTTCCTTATAAAAGTAAGCAAAAGTAAGCATTGAAGCTGCTGAGGAACAAATTTCTTTAGCTACATTAAATGCTGCATCCTTCATAAAGAAATGCTTTGAATGTGCATAAACTGCTAATGCATAGATTATAGGTTCCAATTCCAAATAGTGACCTTCTCTGTAGATACGAAGTATTTCTTGAATAGCCTCTTTATCTGTTTCTCTGGTTTCTAATTCTTCAATAAATTGATTTTTCTCAGGATTAAATGGATACCTAACAGATAAGGGGAAAGGTTTAGTTTCATCTCCTAGATAAAGATATCGACGAAGCTGGGCTATATGAGGATCTGAATCTGCCATTATGAACCTAAAAAAATAGAACTCGCTTAAAAGAAATATAATCTTTACAATATCATTAATTTAAAAGAACATGACAAAGAGATTAAATTCATTTAAAAATACTGAATTATAATAATTTATTATTTAACAAAAGGTATCAGGTGGAAATTTTTAATTTGTAAGCTAGATCAGTGATATCAAACTGACCCTCAAACCACTTTTACGTGGCCCATAAATATATTTCCCTTAAATTCATTAGCATTATTACATTGTTTAATATGGCCAGAATTTGAAGAAATGTTTAAGACATTATTGATTTTGAGTCCAGTTTTACAGTAATTTCCTTACAATTAAAAACAAATTTTAAAAATGCTCCAGAAAATCTACAGATGGAGCTAATTTAATTTACACTATAATATAAATCTTATTCAAAGATTTGAAAACACAGAATTGATTAACCCTTTTTTTGGTACTTGTAAAACAAAGATAACTACCATCAGTTATAAATTTTTGATATATAATTTGTCTCAGAATACATTTACACATGAAAATTTTTCTGCAGTTGAATAATTAATACGTCTAAAAAGAGAATCAGACTGATCAATGAGCATCTTTGATCAGTCTGAAGACAGAAGTTTAAAGCAGTTTTTCCTCAAGATTCAGTCATGATAAAGTTTCAAGCAGTTTTTCCTCAAGATCGCAAACTATATATTGAAATCAAAACACTGAGTTGTTGCAGTTCAAAGCTTTAGAAATAAATAAAGAATTTTATAATTGTATTCATACAAATATATATGTATTTTGTTTAAGTGCATCAAAAAAATTAATAAATAAAAAAAAAAGGTAACAGATTGTCATTATTTATTCTCAAGTTTTGTCCTACTTGGAAAGTTTTCCCTATTTGTTCATTTTAGTTTAAGTTATTTAATGGTTAATTCATTCATAATTCAACATATTAGAATCAGATGAAATAAATTTTAGTCTGAAAATTTAACAATTAGCTATCAACATATTCGAATTACAAAGTGTAACCAGTAAAAATTTCTTGCACATACCAACCTTTAAATTTCAGACAGAAAATAAAAAATACATTGGAATTTTTCCTTTGCATCATGATTAGTACTGTTTATATAAGTTTTGGTAAATATTTAGGACATAAATTTTAAATTTAGTTGAAAATTTGTTTTGTTTCAAAAAAACTTTTCATTTGGGGTTTAAAAAAACTGCCCGATACCTGTTTATAGATTACGCATTTAGCCCGCATGCAGTTTGAGAATGAGACCACTGAACTAGATAACACAATTAGTAGAACGGTCATCCACTGTTGCCTTTGTGGTAAAAATGTAAAGTTCAAAAAAAAATTTACATTTTTTACCACAAAACTACAAAGCAACATTTCAGTTTTTTACAATTCTATTATTATTCGCAACACAAATCATCTTCAAAGGGCTAACAGTCCTAACAATGATCACTTATGGTTTGCACACAATGAGAGGAGTTCCAAGTAAACTTTGTGTTACCACATTTCCTTCCATATATAAATGTTGATAATTAAAATTCATTCATAATTCTGTTATTACAAGCAGAACTGTAAATATTCCATATGTTAAAGTATATTACTTTTAAATGGGAAAAAAAATTTTTTTTTAAACCTTTGATATACCAAGATATACGCCCAGGAAACTGGCAAATTCTTTCTTGCTGAGATTCCGAATAGAGAGGAAAATACACTCATGGCAAAAATTGTCAACAATTACAATACTTATCAGCAATTTATTCACACTGTTAGCGAGTATATAAAACAGAGAAATTGGAAAATGAGGTTAGAGACATTTTAGACATAAATTTAATTCTGTTGATCCAACAATATACAAAATGGTGAATATTGTGATGGTCTATAAGTGGCATAATAAAAATCAATGAGACATGTTTCGCCATCAACATGTGTCTTACTTTGCAAAGTTTACAGAGTGAAAGTCTTTGAGATGAGAAAATGCCCTATCAAAAGCTATATTAACCTCAAAAACCATATACAAACTAAACCACAAAACAACCATAAGAGTAACACAGTTAAAAACTACAAATACCACTCAGTCAGCACAACCATAAATACCATTTACAGTACAAAGTCTTCAATCTGGAGTCGTCGGGACTTCCGCGATTCCGGATTAGAGGTTTTTCTAGATTATAGATCATCAATTTAAATCTAGTAAGATGGCATGCAGAAATTATAAAATTAAAAATATGAAACTGTAATTTATGAAATAAAGAGAAATTATGATCTAAAGGGTATCAAAATTTACAAAAAAAGAGGCTTAATATTTATTTGTTTACTTTATTAAACATTTCTTTCAATGTAAGTTGTTCAGCAGCTTCAGTATTAATTGAAGCTTTCTCACCTGAAATTTTTAATTGTCTTATACCATGGCAATTTTTAAATTTGGTTAACCAACCTGTCGAATATGTGCACTCTCTGTTTAAGTTCATTTCTTCATGAAATATTTTGGCTTGAGCCATTAGCATTTGGACCCGTCAATGGCACGCCCTGGCTGCGATGCTGTCTGACCCATTCAATCATCACTTTGTCATGATCGTCACTTTTAGCATAACGAACCCTTTTTCTGTTAGTCATTTGCAAGTGGGGTGTCAGAATCCACAAAAAATTCAAAAAGTTCCTTTTTCTTTTTGCTTATGTCATATACAGTTGACTTTCCAATGTTACACTCCTTGCATAAATTTGAGACGGATATGCCTTTATCCATTTTTGCAGCAATTAAACTTTTTGTTTGATGGACATTGAAAGATGCTTTCAATAACATAATCCAGAATTAGAGATCTTTGTCCAATGCTAATTCTTTGTAGATCCTTTGGCAGCTTCAGAATCGGAAACTCTTTTTGACATAATCGTAAGTTCAAGCTTACTTTTTATAAATTTGCTCTAACAGTCTGCAAAAAATAATAACCCGGATCCAATTAGAAGATTAAGGAACAATGCAATCTGCAACATTAACTGTAATAGATAATTAGATAATTTTAGCCTAGTTATAACGTCCGTTATACATTAAACGTGCGTGCATAAATGTATTATGCGCATGCGTAAAGATATTATGCACATGCGTAAATGTATTATGCGTAAGCCCATTATGCGTTTATGCATGTGCAGAAAGTTTGTAGCTTTGAGGTTCGGCTTATAGATCATTCTGGATTATGGACGTCAGGATTAAAGACTTTGTACTGTTAGTCTGTTTCTTTTCAGCAGGAGATATATCTTCATGTTTTTGTTAATTTTATCCATTTGGTTTTTAAATATGTTTATAAATTTACACGATTACATTTTTTAATTTACAGGAGGGTGGAAAAAAAGAAAGACAAAAGGCTTATGTATTATCACAAACATCCTAGTAGAAGTTAATATTTCAGCATGTGCAAAATTCTGCCAGCCATTGCACCTTAACATTTTTCAGACAGCCATGTCATAGCAGTCCTTTAATTCAGTAGTCAAACTGGCAGCCCCCAAATAAATTTTATGTGGCCAACAAATTTAATTAATATTATTATGACAAGAATTTGAAGAAAAACTTTAGGATTTTAATGGTTTGAAGTCCAATGTTACATTATCTTCATTACCAATATGAACATGAGCAACTCTTCATAAAATCTAGATATGGATCTACCTAATTTACACTGAGATACAAATCTTACTGATAGATTTGAAAATACTAATTTATTAACTTTTATTAGTAGTCAAAAGATATATACTCCGAGTTATGAGTTTTTGCAATAAGAATAATCACTTTGGGAGTATATTTACATGTGTCTTTTCATAGATGAAAATTAATCAGGGTTGCCACTCAAACAGGAAAGTGAAATTCCCTGACTTTTCCAGGCTTTTCAAGTGTGTTGTAAGAAAATTCCAGTCTATCCGCGTAAAGCGCGTTGGCTGCGCTGAGAGGTAAATTAATTACGGTACCATTTGAAAATACAAATATCTACCAATTACATATGACTTACATTATTATATGTGTGTGTGTGTGTGTGTGTAAGTCATATATATAATATATATAATCACAAAACATTAGTATGATAACTATAATAGCAGTTGTTGTCTCCACTGAAGATTAAGATTAGAATCTGCCTAAATCTGGAATAAAAAATGTCATTTTTTTGCAGATATTTTGCAGCTAAATGAAAGAAAGAAATCTATTTAATGATATTTTTAAATAAATTCAGTTATTTTATATTTATTTAGCAGCATACATAAGCAAAAAATATGTGCATTAAATTTCATGATAGTATGTCATCATACTGTTAGAATTTAGTTTCAGGATTATGCCAGAAGAAATTGCCTGAAATTTGAAAGTATTGTTAACTAATAATAATAAAGTTAGTTAAATAAAGTTAGAAGGAAGAAGACACATTAAATGGTAAGAATAACATTAAAATAAATTACTTAAAGATTAAAAACTGAATTATAATAATCAACAATATTTTAGCAAATATAGTTAAACAGTACAAAGTACGTAATCCAGACGTCCATTATCCGGCATGATCTATAATCCGGAGCTCAAAGCCACAAACTTTTTTTTTTTTTGTATGCTTTACGCATGCGCATTTAATGTATAACGGCTAAAATTATCTTTACTGTTTCTAAGGCATTTCAGTTAATGTTGAAGATTGCACTGTTCTTTAATCTTCTAATTGGATCCGGCTTATTATTTTTTGCAGACTGTTAGAGCAATTTTATAAAAATTAAGCTTGAACTTTCGATTATGTCAAAAAGAATTTCCAATTCTGCAGCTGCCAAAGGATCTATAAAGCGAAAGCATGTTTTGATGTCCATCAAACAAAAAGTGGAATTGCTGCAAAAAAATGGATAAAGGCATATCCGTTTCAAAATTATGCGAGGAGTATGCCAATTATTGACATAAGCAAAAAGAAAAAGGAACTTTTTGAATTTTTTGTGGATTCCGACACCTCACTTGCAATGAATAACAGAAAAAGTGTTCGTTATGCTAAAAGTGACGATCC